GTCGAGGGCCTTCTCGAGCGGGAACTTATGTGTGACCAATTTATTGAGATCAAGTATGCCGCCGCTCATACATTGTATAGCGGCCGGCCAGGTGTCCCGATATCGGTTGATAAACTTGAGATCAATCTATATTAACAGTATCACGTTAGCTGTTGATTCCCCAAAATGGTGTACGACCATGTTAACTGGAACTGACCTCGGCAAGGGATAAATGCATAAAAGGGATATTATTCATGACCGGCTTTCCTACCCCAATCACCATCAGTGTTCCTCCTCTGCGAACAGAGAAGGCAGCTGTGCAGACGCTGCTCTCGACACCAGTACACTCCATTACTGATGCCGGGGCCGAATACTCATCCTCGCCGTATAGCTTTCGGATCTCTCTAGCGTTTTCTTCGGCACTCAGCTTTGAATTGATTTGGTATGTTTGGCAGCGTGGGACGATCTCCCTAGCGAACTCAAGACGCTTTGGGTCAATATCTGTAATGACTAGTGGGTGAGCACCAGATGCCCTCGCGGCAGCTAAAGCAACGAGCCCAATTGGACCTGCGCCGCAAACCAATGTCGGGCGACCCAGCTTCACATTAGCTCCGTTGATGCCGTGGAGTATTACACTTAGTGGTTCAAGCAGTGCACCTTCGGAATAACTTAGATTATCTGGGATCCTGGGGACTTGTCAGCTCTGTCTCAGTTGCGACTAGTCTTGTGACCCAGACAAATGGACCAGCAGATCTTGATCAAACATACTTGTACAGCCACTTTGCCGGGTGAACCTTGAATCTCTGGATAGTTCCATTGTAGGGCCATATTCCGGAAAATTTGACGTCCTCGCAAAGGTTGTACCGGCCTTCCATACACAGAAAGCATTTTTCGCAGGGTTCTTGGGGCTCAACTCCCACTCTATCCCCTTAACAAACCAACAAGATCTCCAGTTAGCACAACATATAAGGATCTTGCCAAGTGCAAGACACAACTTCGCACAGGTACGGGATCAAAAGTAGATTCACCTGGTTTGAGATTGGTCACTCCCTCTCCGCACTTAAGCACAATACCAGCAGCTTCATGTCCTAAGATGCAGTCACCCTTAACCTCAAGAGATCCAATGCGCCCTGATTTCCAAAGGTGCATATCTGATCTATATAACTAGAAGTTAGCAGTTTGCCATGCGAGATACTAAAGATGCACGAATGAAACTTACCCGCAGATACCTGAACATTTGATCTGCAAAGTTACCTCTCCGACACCAGGTTCCTCGATAGGAGCATCCACCAACTTCAGCTGATGATCCTCGGTAACTTGCAGTGACGGGTTCTTGAAACTCTTTGCAATTCCGTTAGTATGGCCATTCGTGTGGCCATTTGAATGGTTGCCATTCAAGTCTATTCCCGGCATGTTTAATAGGTAGTATGCTTCGATATACTGTTTCGTTCCACGACTGAGTCAAAATTTAATCGATGGGTTATAATGAGGGATTTCGCAGCCTTCAATTAGAGTATAATAGGAACAAGCTCGTCGACTCGAAGAACCAAGTTTCTTTTTATAAATTTCCGTGGCTACCGCGATCCGCACATTTCTCAACGGGTTTAATCAAAGAAGGCCGGTTAGCCCAATTGGGACTTCCGGCGGCGACATGGTCCACGAGCATGCCCCGGACCTACCACCGGCGTAAGCGTGACAGAAACCAATGTGGGGAAACCAATCCTATTGGAGATTTGCCAATTCATCCCCTGCCCTAGTTCTTGGACTGTCTCCGCATACCGACAGTCCAGACCATCCAAAACGACCTCAAGAGAAGCTCGCGGTTCGCCTTCCCCAAAGACCCGCATATTCCAACCATCAGGCTTGTCCCCATAGCTGCATTTTGTGCTCCCTTTGGCACGGGGAGAGCAAGAAAACAATACTACCATGGCATTGCATGGTTCCTACCCTATCTGCCACTGCGACACTCCCATTGGTATTATGTCTGAACGGTTCCTTTTTTAGGCTTTCAACCTCTTGGGTATTACGGGGTATATGAAGGCAGTAGGAAATGCCAGCCCCCGAACCAGGGTGATTATATGTAAATACGTAAGTGTGATTCTCTTGGCCGACTCTATGGTTCCCTTATTACTACTACTCGCTGCTGCAATCGCTGAGTGTTCATGTAACGCTATACTGCCGAAATTCGGTCTGCGATATTGCAGATGGGGCGGACTAGTTGAATAATCACTCTATTTCACCGGCCCATCACAAGATGTAGACGCGCGAATGGAGACACGCGGTTTTTTATCCCTCGACGTCCTAAATCGTATACTCTATCAAACCTGTTTGAGTTTCGGGCGAGAACAATTTCCCGAAAGTCTTTCCGGGGATCAGACTACCTAGTGCTAGCTGCCCCCCCTCACTGCGCCGTACTCCCCCTCGCCATGCTCGGCTTTCCTATCCCGCAAAGATGGATGACAGACTAAATTCGGTTCGTTCAAAGATGCTCCACTCCCAGCGTGGTGGTTAGGTAGCGTGGTTGACGGGAGGACCCGCACAACGTTTGGTGAGATCGCTCTTCGCTGTGATGCCTCACATCTCTAGGTGGTATACTACGGCTAGCGCGGGATATGTCGTCTACCAAGTATGAATCCAGTCCTAAAACATATTCGTTTGTCAGACCGGCAATAGCTCACTAGCATTTGTTCAGGCCATTAAGAGATGCAGTCTTGTTTCGAATTCAAACCATCTCGGAAGGCAAGATGTTTTTATAGCTAATTCTTGATGACTATGACCACGACAAGGTTCCAGCTTTCTTCGAAGCTAAAGGTAACGTCTGGTCGATAAGCTTTCAGTGCTGTACCTGTCGATCGAGGCCGCCCTACCCACGCCGTTCGACATCGACGGCGTTCTGCCTACGTCGTGCCGATCAGGGTACCTGCGGGTCTCCCTTTCTGGGGTCTTCTCCAGAACCAGAAAAGAAGCAAGAACACGAAGCGCGAGAGATACACCAGCATAAGGACCATGGCTTACATGACCTTTCTACTATAGGCCATAGCGATCTAATTGTAAAACCGAATGATGCATTGAGAGACCTACGTTGCAAATGACGGGGACTGGTTGATATGTTAAGCTCTAGAACTTCGTAATCTGGTTGGTACGCACGTTAGTCACCGGTCAAGCTATAGGTAATGCATGAAAATCGTGAGAGAATCAATATGACCCCCACGACTCCTTATGATCCCGAATTCCACAGTATCTCAGTACTCGTAATTACCTATGCATTTACTTTACAATAAAATAGTATCAATTATACCCTATGGAACTAACCGCCCATATACTGCTTTAACAGTGATATAATCATTCCGACGAGAGCTAATTTTTTGAAGCAATTCACATATCAAAAGTATCTTGAGGTGCCAGGGCCCCTCGCGATAGCCAAACGAAGCAGCCCTTCCATGCAGATTTGTATACGTCATGCTTTCGGCATCATGCATTGTGTTGCATCGAGCTATCTTTGCCGGTTGTGTCACTGTGCCACTTGAAATTTACAGGTGCCACTGATGCCGTGGGCACTTCGTTGAATACAAATGTCTTTATACACATTTACCTCGGATGCTAGATATGTAAAATTAAAAGAATTGGAAGCTTTAGTCAATATATTACGGACGATACTCTCCGGGACAAGTTGTAATGGATCTACATGAGCTATGATATTCAACGCTAGGCTCCCTTATGCAGCCAGCAATCTTGCAGAATCTTAATCTACCGATGTGACGATCATCTGCGGCTACCGACAACAGCAACGGGTACTGCTATCTTGTTCATACTAGTTCTTAGGTGCGTTTCCATGGAACTTTTGGTTGAGCCTGAATGGAAGTAAATCATATCCGTTTTGGTACTGGCATATGTACCTGTAAGGAAGTAATTCCACCAGCAAACTGCAGAGAGCCGCGCATCTAATGACCGATTCTGAATTATCGTGTACATACATTTAATATACGTATATTCTCTATATATCCTTTGACGTACCTAGTAAGCTGTAGCTACGCTGCGGAAACGGAGCCATCTCAAAGCACTGGTTAGACGAATAGTATTGTTAGAATCAATTCTAACAGTGAATACGTAGTTGCTCCGTTCTTTTCTTCCACATTGTTCTCGTATAAGTAGGTAATTAGCTCCAGGCTCCCTTGCTTGTTTAATAATACTATACTTTATAAGCCGATACAAACAAGACAAAACAAACGCTAGGCGGTGTTTTCTAATATATCGACCAACAGCAAACATGTATTTTCCGAGCTCTCTTACTTGCTAGAACACTTAAACTTCCGAGATAGAAAACTTGCATTTATACTAGTTGTTGAATCTTCAATAATACCTAAGTAGCTTCCTAATTCATCATGTAATAAAACCTAACTTGGTTTCTAGCCCCTTCCTCTTATCATTTTAGACGACCTTACTCGAATGTAAAACCGAAACAATAGCAGCTAATTAATGTCAAATATATCCTCCATCCTTAGTGAGTACCTAACTTCTAAAGTGTTTCCCCTAGCTAATTATAGATTATCCATGATCCATGTCGACATTACCTTAGGTATCAAGTAGATTCCATACTGATGGTGAAAACGCTCAAAGCACGTTTGGTTTAACAGAAGTTAACTTAAAAGAATTACTTAAGTTTACCGTTTATATGGGGAATCATACAGAGTCTCTTCGATGAACTTGCTAATTCCTTGGGCTAGTAGGCCTACATGAAGTAGGCTGGTAATTACATTCTAGTTGATTCCTATCTCTTCGCCCTTTAAACTAGGAACATACGCGGAGACGGCAGACATATCATCTAAAAGAAATCATCTACGCATTCGACCTATGAGTAAATATATGATACATGAATCTTTTTGAAAAGTTAATGGCCTGAAAACTAGATCTGTTTACCCGCCTCTGCAAGCAGCCGTTGTAGAAGTAGACAAACAGAGCAGGTGGTCCATGCACACTCATTGTGACCCAACACCCCATACGGTAAAATCTACAGGCTTTCACTTGTTTTAAGTTGCCCAACTTCCTTGTAGCATAGAGCAAAGAACAAGACGAGGAATTTCCCAGCTATTTCTTTTTCGCATAAACCTTAATCAACCTACAATGGTCATATTTAGCATCCCCCGCTTCATCTTCCAAATGGCCGTGGGTTGGCTTGCGGGCGATTTTCCGCCTGATATTAACCATTTTCGAAATGCAATGATGGAAAAAAGCGCTACAGAGGCCGATTTCTATTGTGGATGCAGCCCATACTTGCCCAATCCAGGTCCAACAGGGCCATGGCCCGGTCACACATACAAAATTCGAGACCCGAAGACCGAGCGACAGATTACGCTCGTCAACGGGGAGCTCAAGCTAGAAAAAGACATGGGCGAACAAGGGGGATATCACTGGCTATGCATAGAAACGGATGGGTACCTGGGATTTCGCAACCCCAGTAATAACGTGCACATAGGCCATAACAACTGGGGTCAGTTTGTCGCCCGGGAGTATCACCACTGGGCGTGGGAATTCTTTAACACGAGAGCACATCCGGATGGGGGCCAACTATTGTTAACAGTTCATGGCAACTCAATGCGAAAAATGGCAGTTGAGAAGGGCACATATAGGCTGGTGGAGACTAAGGGTGACGGCACGGCGTGGGAGTTTGTGGAGGTGCCTACTTGAAGTGATTATGAATGCACATGGGGTTAATACTATGGGTTGAACTTCCTATCTATCGTTGAGTATAGATATAGAAGTGATGCGATGATTGTACGTTGAGGGATCTTTGTATCAGAACAGAAAGCACGGCTTTGAATCACGATGAATAAATATGCTTACGAACAGTTATAAGAGTAGTGCATTCTTCTACAATAGCAAGAATTTGCCTGCTTAGTATACAAGACACAATTGGAAGTATCGTGTTAAGCTGCCATGGCCTTGGCTTTCTAGGGAGTCATTGTCTCATAATGTAAGAGGGGGCTACTTATCAACATAATTTCGACAAAACCAGTATATTATTATATCAAAGACTCCTTTTGTTCTAGTCAAGACCTGTGTTGTATTTGGATTAACATGCTAGCCTATGGAAATATATGAGCACAGTACTTAATTAAGTTCTTATATTGCATTGAATATAATAGGCCTAATTATTGCCATGAATTTAGTGTAATTTTTGACAATTGTATAGTGGGAAGGAATGTCATGATTAGGTAGAGATACTACGATTATATATCACAGCATCAGCAAAATAAGTTAGTTTAGGCCAACGTAAGATGATAGGAAAAATTAAACAAATTTACCAGATGCATAAAACTTGTCATATATCATTGCTTTAAAATCAACGTGGGTTTGGTTCATTTTCATGACTAAGGCATCATCTTGACTTTGGGTCTGTCAAGCTAGCTTCCTAGGAAGTCTAAGTAGTATCTATCTGTAAAAACACCGAACGCCATGCCAGAGTGATTGGAATTCATCGCAGAATACGAGGCTCTCTATGTATCGTGCCACAAACAACGATTTAGCCTTTGGATCTAAACTGGAGATGACTCTTATTGCATACTGCCAGTTGTTGGGCACTCACACCATTGGAAGATCATCGTCCAGGAGTGGTATTGGGGAATGCGCTTGCAGCTCTACTGAGACCACGGAGAGCGTCGGGCATGGATCCGGACTGCAGAGTGTTGATGAACTCATCAATAACACTATGGTCTTCTAAGTCCTGCGCTCGTGTACGGACTAGCCAGTACTCAAAGGGACCCCCTTTTACCCAAATATTAGCATATGTGTGAAATAAAGTAAAGTAAATCACATGAATTACTTACGATTGAATGCAAGGGCGGTACCAAGCTCTTCACAACGCTCGCCGGGAGTGTGCTCGGTATGCATGTCAAGGAAGTGGTTGATCATCTTAGAAACATCCTTAAGTGGCCACTTGCAAGGCGCACTAGGCACTCGATTGGCACCTGCTTCCAGAAATTTCGCTGATGTGCAGAGTCGGCACTTCCAGAAGCCAAGTCGCTGGAAGTTAGTAGTGCCCGAGCCATTCAAGTCCATAATCGGTTGGGCCTCGACGTTCTCATCGTCATCACTGTCTAACGGCTTCGTAGTACGCTGTCTCTTAACTCCAGCGGTTGAGGCAGGAGTGGCCGTAGCATTGCGATACTGCTGGGACTTATAGGTAGGGGTAGCCGAGGCAGCAGCGGCGGCCGAGTTGCGTGCTTGGGCGTCTAGCTGTTGAATCCTGTGCTGGCAACTACGGATGTTGTGGCCGCAGTCTAGAACGCGTATCTGTAGGGTTCTTACCTCCTGGGGGGTGAGATCGGCAGAAGCGAGCTGATTTCGGCAGAAGTCCAAGTCGTAGCGGTATGCACTGATGTCCTCGTTCATCTGGCGGCGTGTTATCTCGTTCAGATTGCTACTCTCGTAGTTGAGAGAGCGAGGATCCAGGGATCCATTGGCAGCAGACATGGCGCCGTTAGGGAACTATAGCCGAGTGTCAATGGATATAAGGCTGCTTATTCATAGGGTACAAGAAGGAAAAGTTGATGATGTCAGTCAAGGTCAACCTTTCAACAAAGATTATGTTACCGTTAGATTATTGGGTTGGTGATAAAGGACTGCAGGAAATATTAAAAGCACCAACTTACCTCAAAGATTCGGGCGATGTCAGGCACGAAGCGCTGGACGAAAGATGGGCGCTGCCGAGACATTACGGAATAAGGAAGAGGATAATATGTTATATCGTGAGTACCGTTATGAGAAGAAGGGCAGTGGCGGCAAGAGGAGAACAGGTTGTATATTAACCTGACTTGGCAGTACCGATGGTTGGATTATGACTGAGAAGGCACGCAAGTAGCCCGGATCAAGAATAACGGAAGTCGCCGACTTCACAGAGCAAGAGCAGGCGTGACATGAATATTATAGATGTGCTCGGCTTGGGCTACACGTGACCAGTTCAAGAACTATTTAAAGCAATATTAAGAATATGCAATCGACTCTTAATTTAGCAAGATAGATGGAACTAAGTAAATAAAGTCGATAATGTGGTTGGCGAGATAAAAGTGTATAGACAATAGGGGGATTATAGGAGGGAGAAAAAGGAAAAGAAAGAAAAAGGGAATTGAAAAAAAAAAAAAAAAAAAGAGACCATGGAGAAAAAAAAAAGAAAATTTTTCAGAATAAAACTTAAGGGTACAACACCACCTTTTGTCAACAAGTACGGTTTCCTGTACCTTCCAACTTTACATATTATTGGCAGTTATATCAAAGGACACCTTTTAATAGCGCGCATACCATATTTTCACAATATGTGGTTTCATATTTCGTTATTGTCGTCTTGTAAGAGGTCAAAGTAGCAACTGCTTGCGGCTTAGGTACAAGGTGCAGAGGAACGCTAATGGACCAATGAGGTTAGTTCATTTTTAAAGCTTTTAGGACTCTGCTTGTGAGCTGCCCCACCGGATTGCCTAATATAGTAATTCTATTTTGATAACTTTTTCCTTTTTTTTTTTTTTTTTTTTCTTCTTCTCTCTTTTCTATTTATAAGATTGTTAACAAAATAGGGGCCTGCCATTTACTGGTAAAGATATAACATGCAGAGCTAATCTCATCTGAGACAATTTCTTTTAATCCTCTCAGTGATACCCTATGGTGCCACATCAGCATTACAGGTAGCCAGGCAATTTTGTGGTAGGGTCTGGTATTGGCCGCTGTAAAGGTACAAGTGTCAGGTAGCATAGACCTCTTGGTGTCGCAAAATAGGCCTACTTGGGTAAACATTGATCAAATTATCATGCGGAGAACCATCCCGGAGTGGATCCTCCACTCGGAGCTTTCGGTGGAAGTTGCGGAGTTTTCTGCCGTGCCGGTTTTTGTTGCCCGGGATGGAAGGTTCGGTGCAGCATGAACACAAAGCGAGGGTCCCCCCGTGAGGGCAACCACAAGAGCCCGACTTTTAGCAAAGCTCATGCTTATGTCATCCCTTATGTCATTCTTCCGAAATTTAGCCGCTCATTCCACTAAGGTCACGTGCCGCCACGCCGGGCCGCGCGAGGGGGGGTGCGAGGCCCTCGCTTCGCGAGGGCCGAGCGCCCCCCCACCCGCGG